CAGTCCACAATTTTACGTTCTTCTCTTTTTTTCCCCATACGAAACGCCTCGGAACTCCGTTCGAGCTCGAGTTCCCAGTCTAGCTCTGGAGGGAATAGGGATCTGATCGTTCCTTTGCTTGTTGCCACAAGCTCTAGTGGGTTAGGGGATGAGGAATCGTTGCCTGTCTGTTTGAAGAGAGATTCTTGTTCTGGATTGTTGAGGTAAAGAAAGCCAGCATATTGATCTTGTGACGATTTCAACCACACGTGGTTTTCACGCATTAATGCGTTGTTGCGTGCGGCTTTACCACATAGGAACGCTCGGCTTGTTTGGGCGCTGAGATATGCGGTTTGTGGAACGGGGGTGCTTATAATTTTAGAGGAAGGCTCCGGTACGGGGAATGGATATGAGTATTTCCGATGTGAACGATAATGGCTAAACGTGACTCCTCGTTTTTCGTCGGCGTGTTGTTTCCATCCTTGAGGTAGATTGACGAAGCGGCCTTCTATTGCCTTTGAGCGGTACTCATGCCATGCTGAAGTGATTGGTCTTCGGTCAAGAGAGGCAGGATGGGAAAGAGCATACCACTTAGTGACAGGTTCTGTGAAGCGGCCAAACAATGGGCCATCGTAATCGTCGTCGTCTTTAGGAAATTGTATATCGCCAATCGTGCCGGGCCTGTCTCTCCTACCGGTCCAGCCGATCCAAGACCAACTCGGCAGTTTGTAGGACGTTTTAGGAGAACACCCTGAGCTCGAAGCTACGCGCCATCCTATACTGCCATTATAAGGCCTCCAATGCAAAGCAAGCTCGAACCAAAATTCCGGAAGTCCGCATAGAAAGCCAGGCTGAAAAAATTGTTCGAGCAGACTTTGAGTGCCAGCAAATGCAGACAATGCGTCTTCTGGAAAGCTTAGTATACGATTACTGTACGCACTAACTAGATCGTTCAGCGAGTGGGGTGTTGGTATTTTGTCTGTAAGTAGTCGATGAACCGTGGGACGTTGTCGTGCATCAAAGTATTGGCCATTGCTTGGTTCGGGTAGTTCTCTGATCATGTCTTCGCGCGTCAGACCCCATTCACAATGCCACTCTACGGCATCATTTGCGAAGACTAGTCTCCGAAGTGAGAAGCCAAACTCTTGGAACGTCCACGCTCTGGTGTGATAGGTGTTTCGGCCGTGAGAGCCTGGGTATTTTTTCGCAGGATGGCGTACTACGACCTGCTCCGACCCGGACAGCTGTATAGGCATTTGAGAATGATTTCGCGCCGTGGTCAAGCCTTTGAGTCCCCGTAGTCCATGGTTCGCATCAACTCCGTCTGCAGCAACGATGGTGAAATCGGCAGAGTGATAAATGCGGTGCATTCGTGACAATTCATGAGCAAGATGGACATGATCATCTTGTATCTAATTCTATGTCAACTACGGTTCGCTTGGAACAAAGCGGCATGCATGTACTCACAACACATAGGGCGTCCACCCAGAGATATCTATAGCTTAGCGCCTTGACAACGACGAAAGCATCGCTGATTGTTCTTGGTATGTTTCCAGCAAGCTTCCCATCTGAAAGCGCGTTCGGCTTGAGAAGTCTTTCGCGCAGCTCAGTTGTGTTTCGAACAGTGTTGGTCTGGCCCCATTGGTAACTCAGTGCGATATATCCTACTTCAACCCGGTCACCTTCAACGATGCACATCTCCATGGTATCAATGAGGTATTTGGGCCGCACAACCTCTCTACGCTGGAGCCAAGGTATTTGCTTGCATAGAAGTCCGTGAGTTGTATTGCATGTTGTTATCCACTGCTTCAACATGTCCATATCGATCCACCGAACATCTATAGCTCGCATTACTCCAGGATGATCGGGTACTGTGGGCTTGTGAAGTAACCCGAAAGAATCCGAGTAGTAGCATCTCCCATCGACTCCGGGTGAAGGCTGCAACCAAAAACACATGAAATCGGGCTCTTCTGCGTTTCGCACAACTGTTAGGTGGTATTTTGCACAGTCCGGATGATCTGCCAAGACATCTTGCAAGAAATCCTTGAACAATCCCATATGAGAACATTGGCATCTCAGGAGATCTTCGGCTATACCCAAGGTAAGCTCCTTGCCGCGGTTTCCGAGATGGTTGATGCATATAAGAATCTTGCTGCAGATCTCGCAGTCTGGCTGTCCGTCGGATGATTGGTGCGCTTCACGCTCAGTCTCGATTCCTTGAGTTTCCGTAACGGGGGCCTTGCTGTTTCCGAGGAGCTCAGCTGATGCAAAACGCTCGACCCTATGATATCGCATAGTTCAAGGCCGGACTGTGAGGACGTAGATGAGTGTGTGAATCTCAAGGCTAAGAGGCACAGCAGTGATTGTGGCGTGAGGCAGACTCAAGGTGGGGTACTGCATGCGGGCTTGCGCACGTGCACACAAGGTGTCTTTCATACTTGCTATCATGTATAACGAACTTGATTCGCTCAAAGCAGTAGGGATGACGAAACACGAAATTCTACAACGAAAAGTTGGTCATTCCAGACGGCGTATCCCACAGCGCATCCCATGAGAAGTCGAATGCGTTTGGATCCAATATGTCCGACAACAAGAACGTCGTATCATCAAAATTAGGCATCACCGGTACGTCAATGCCATTACCATTAGGTGCAACGCTGGTGAGCTCAGTCTCCGATGGCTGCGGCGCTTCACGTGCGTTCAGCGATGCGATCTTTGACACAGGATCAGCGCAACGCTCAAGACAATAGTTTGCGAGATCCCAATCGTAATTATCTCGCGCATGCTGAATGTGCGCAATAACACGTTCCAGACGCGCGACACATGCGTTCCGTATTTCAGGATCTTGAGTCTCGACAGTGCAGCGAAGCGACACGGTGATGGCATGCACCAAGAGGTGAGTCGCATAGGGCAGCCAAAAGTCCAGGAACTGTGTTTCGCCCATGGTCAATATGAAATCGAGGACTGCCGATGATGCAATGCGCAACTGATCCATCCGGCTTCGACCTATACTACCATCTCCGTCAAGGACAGCTGCGCGGAAGATGAGACGGGCGAGTACAAGTCTTATCGAGAGGAAAGAGAGCCATAGCATCGGTGTGCCTGGACGATTTGGGAGAGGGAGCCATTCAGGAAGTTGTGATTCCAGATCGTCTAGCTCGTGCTTGAAGCGATCGATCTCCCGGGCGAGTTGTATTCGATCTGGACTGATCTGGTAAACGAAGGGTAAGATTTCGGCCAGCAGCTCCGTCAGGGAACATAGATGTATAAAGCAGGTGGTAGTCTGCTTCTGCTGCGAGGTTGCCTTGGTGCCAATGAGCGAGCTCACAGTCGGTCGCGGGACGTCGTAGTAGCCTTTCGATACATAGGGTGGTGCGCCATATGCAACACTAGACCACTGGTCGGTGATGAGGACACACCACCAGAGTCGCATTCGCACCGACTTCTCATTCTCTGTGATGTTCCACTTTGATGGGTCTCTGTGCAGTCCAAATGTCTGAGCTAGAGATACTGTTCGACCGCATAAAGTGATATTGCCGATAATAGAGACCGAAGGACGTCCAACCTGATCCAGCACTGCAGCTTGGATAGTAGACATTCCAGGGCTGAGAAAGTCCTCGAGAGTCGCTGAGATAGCCTTGTTCCAAACGTAGTATGAGTTTGGTTTGGGGTGCATTTTCAGGGTATCTGACTTGGCCCAGTGCGGCGATGCAAGTGCGAAGATGACACACATCAAATTGTTTGGTACTCTGCCGTATTGCCCTGTCCGCAGCATCTCACACATCTCCTCATCCAGGATGGGGAAATGGTAGTGGATGTGGTTGAAATACAGCTCGACCACTTCTCGTTTGAAAGGTCCCATTATCTGCTCAACAATCTCCAGCTGTTCTCTACCGCAGCCGCTGTTGGGTGGTAATCCAGTCCGAAACCTTGGGACTGTGAGGTACACCACTGGATCTTTCGCATCATGGAGTAGCGTCTGATAGTTGGAAGACTCCACCTCACCCTCTGCTTTTCGGTGCTGCGAGATATGTCGGTTGAAGATATCAATGTCTTCCGCGAAGTGCGGCGCAAGCATGATGGATGCGGAAGGATTGTTGTTGGTTTTATGCAAGATGGGTGCTGAGCGAGGCCGAGAAGGACCTTCCTCAGGCTCGCTATGCCGTCGCCGCTTAGAGGGTCGTCGATCTGGACCCTCTTCTGTAGGAGAGCTGGTGTTTGAACTCTCGACATACTGGCACTTGAGGCGTCTTTCTCGGCATGACAAACATGGCTCTCCGGGAATGTCGATGTGACATCGGATTTTGCGCGAACGACATCGCGTACAGGCCGGTACTTTGTGTGAGCGGTATGGCCTGTTCTGAATGGGAGCAGCGCTGGCCATCAAAAGAAGATTTGATCGACCAAATGTGCTCGGACCCTGAGTGAAAGCTTGAGTAGCAGTTCGAGGAAGGCGCGGTGCAGCAGGTTTTGGGTCCACGACAACACAAGCCGAAGTCGCGATTGCGATGGAGGTTCTTCAATGGTCCCGAAATGGCGTTATCGACGTCGATTGCATGATGCGGGATTCTGAAAAGACAGAATGCGAAGAAGCTATGGAATCGGTGACTGCACGCCGATAGCGCATCGTTTAGCGCGCCCCACTTATCTGCGCCCAAGCTCCGGTTCTCTGGAGGCTCTGTCCCCACCAGCTGCAGGCTTCACATGCCAAACGCCTCACCAGAATGTCTTCCTATGTTTGCGCCACATACTTGGACCTGACTATTCATGTTCTGTATCTCGCACAACTCCTTTCCACGACGGTGGTATTCCTCTGGGGCTATTTCGGCAGCCGTCGCGCTAGTTCGACCGCCGCATCAAAACCCCGTATCCACGAGCCCACCTATGTGGAGAACACGACTAATTACTCCAACAATTGCACTCTCCTACTTTACAAGACATCGAGCTGTCATCTAGGACGTTGAATGAGACTATATATACGACATCTTTGTCTTAGTCATCATCAATCAACACCAAAACCCGCCTGCTTAGCTCAGTGGTAGAGCGCGTCACTAGTAATGACGAGGTCGCCAGTAAGTACACCCATTCGAGTCGCATCGAGGACAGGGCGCTGACGTGCCGTGAAGGTTCAATTCTGGTAGCAGGCACAGCATACACCGTCGTCGTCGACGCGGTGGCATCCTTTTTGCTCGCGTCGATGTGGTTGTAGTTGTGAAGGAAAGTTGAACTTATGGGCGCAGGCCGAATCCCGCGAAAGTTCAATTCGCTACCAGGTAATTCTTTTTGTCAACGAGGTGCTGACAGTGCGCCAGAGACGAACGTGCAGTTCATGCTCATGTAGCACAGCTCTTCTTCTGTTTTGTCTTTCCAGGGGTAACATCGGGTACCATCCCGTTGCATATGCTTTTTGGGGGCCACCACTGAAGGGCTGTTTCTCATTGCCACGACTGTGGAAAAGAGAGGGAGACTTCGGCCTGATCATTATAGTACATGACATTAATTGGTAACGGTGCGCAGAAATCACTCCGCTTGAAGGCGGCAATTCAATGGATTATTTTGCACGATCATACCATACATCTGGCTGGAAACCACAGCTATACGATGCGCGAAAAGATATATCCAAAGAACATTTCACGATAACCGTGGAATTGACGATAAACACAGAGACGGGCTTGCCGTGTCCTCAGCAACCGATATTGCGCAACACGGATCTTGTCTTACTTGTTGTTAATGCTACAGCGGACAATTTCCACTGCGAATTACTTTTGCCACCACACTCCTTCGCCCTGAGGCTCCAGAGACGCTTCGACACGATGCGAAGAGCACGCGACCTGAAATCATCGTCGCAAACATACAACCACCTAGCGCAGGCATGCTGTCATCGACCGGGCTCTGCCGTGTTGTTATGCAGCTTTGATGAGCAGCGAAATTGCGACTCGACGGGTACCGGCCGAGGAAAGCAACCTCCATGCACGAGGCACCCAGGCTTGCATCTGCCATCTGCAGGTAATTACCGGATGTGCAGGATATTCCTTGGGTCGCTATATCGCTGCTCTTTCGATCTGCTTACGCTGACTGGGCGCGTCGATGAGCTATATTGAATGGAGCGGTCGTACGCCGCGAAAGCACACGCGAACAATGCGCATCGGCCACCACACAATAACTATGATGACATCTAGCTCCCCAAGCCCATGTCGCCATATCAAACGCGCCGATAGTCACCCTCGATAAGGGGGAGTGCACCGCCATCTGCGAACCAACGCGAGGCTGAGGCAGAAAATAGCTCGAGCGCCTAACGCCCCCAGGAAATTAGATGGGAGGCCCAATCACCATTCACGGGTACCTGGACCTAACCTCAGGCTAACGCGCATCACGGCAAGATGTACGGCTGCACGGTTCAGCTCTCACGGCTCGGCCTTGCCAGGCACGCGGGCGTTTCGAGCTTGGTTGGCGCTCTGCCGTTTGTTTCCTGGTCTCTGCCGCGTCCTGCGCCGACGCTCCTTCACCTCCACGCCGCCTCTCTAATTCCTCTCACGACATCACGTACTCCTGCGGCCAGGTTGTCGTCTTGTCCTTCTTTCATCAAGCGCTACCTGTCGCACTTCACTCTTTACCACATAACCATAGTTACACTCTTTTATGTCTAGTGCCTAGTTCACCCAATACACGACATCCACCCCCGTGCGCCTACCAAACACCACATTCCTTACAACGAGCCGACTTCGATCGAGAAATCCCAGACTGTGCGACTACGTAATCACGCACCAAACGGAACCTCGAACGCAATAGCTGGTTCCAGGAGAGTTGACGGCGGAGTTCTCCCGAGAACCATAAACATCATAAAACATAATCTATCAATCCCCCAACCGACCTTTTGATACGCCACAATGCACGCCATGGCGCACCAACACGCCGGAGCGCATCTTGTGCGACGGCAACGCGACGACGGCCCCGTCGAAATTGTCACGGCGGTCGTCGCCGTGACTGTAGGAGAGGATGGACAACCAGAGCCGACTAAGAATCCAGGAATCGCTCTGCCCGCGCCTGCTACACGCGCTCGCGAGACGACTACTGAGGAAGAGGACGAGCCGGAGGAGACTGCCAAGCCCGAAAAGCCAACCACAACCGCCAGGAAGCCTTCATCTACCCAGGACGACGATGATCTAATCGTGGAGGAGACCTCAACTGCGAAGAGCCCGCTCAAGCCTGCGTCCACCCTCATGGTAGCAACCAAGTCCCCAACGCCCAGCCCCGCCTCGTCGATCGCAGGTCTCGCATCTGCCACAGCCGCGACCATTTCGGCTACCGCATCCTCTTCTTCAGCCGCCGCAGCAGACTCTGAGGAAGGCATGTCCACCGGTGCGAAGGCAGGTCTTGCCCTGGGTATACTTCTGGTCTTGTGTGCCATTCTCACTGGCATCTTGCTCCTGTACCGTCGCAAGAAGAAGCAAATGGCCGCCGCAGCTGCTCAGAACGAGAAGACTGAGATGTACAACGCACCCGCACCGCCGCCTCCTCAAATCATCGCTGGCGCTGCTCCGGCAGGCAGCATCCGTTCTGCTCGTACCGCCTCAACTGCCCCCCGCCTCAGCCTGCGACCAGTCACCCAGTTCGACCCAGCATTCAACGAACAGCGAAAGAGTGGAGGAAACTTGCTCAATGTCGCTGCTGCCGCCGGTGGTGCTGCTGCTCAATCCCAGAACCGCAATCTCTCGCCTTCAGCATCTGCTGACCGTCCTACCAGCGCCTGGGAGCGACGTGGTGCCGCCAACGCTCCCGCTGCCGACCCATTTAAGGATCCTGAGGCGCAATCTGGTCCTCCCTCAGCGAACCCCTTCGGCAACAACGCTGCGGTCGATACTCAGCAAGCCTCCATCCCCGACTCGCCTCCCAATGCTTCTCCCATGGCCTCCGCAATGCACTCTTCAAAGCCCAGCTCTGACTTTGCCAACCCAGCTCCGGCTATCGCCACTGCTGATTCTAATGCTATTGCCATGTCTACGATCCCTCCTCCTACCTCTGAGCTTCCTCTCCCGCCAACTGTCGCCGCCAACAACGGAAGTGTTCCCCCGAGCCCGGCCTGGACTGAAGACATTCCTGCGTCCCCTGGCCCAGCTCCTGCTGGTCCTCTTCCTGTTGCTGGCGCTATGGCTGGTGGTCGTCCCCAGAGCCCTGCCATGGGTCCTGGTCCTAACAACGTCCACCGTGTTCAACTTGACTTCAAGCCTTCCATGCAAGATGAACTCGATCTCCACGCTGGTCAGCTGGTTCGCATGCTCCACGAGTACGATGATGGATGGGTAAGTTTGACTTTTTTTCCATAACTTGACGAGATGACTAATTATTTCTAGGCTCTCTGCATTCGTATGGACCGCTCGCAGCAAGGTGTCGTCCCCCGCACATGTCTCTCCAAGCACCCTGTCAAGCCCCGTAACGGCCCTCCTCGCAACGGTCCTGCACCACCAGGTAACATGCGCGGCCCACCCATCCGCCCAGCCATGGGTCCAGGCGGTCCTCAGCAACGTCCCCAATCACCCGGCATGAACTCCCCCAACATGCCCCAAGGCAGCCCCGGTCCCCGTCAAATGTCCCCTCGCCAGATGTCGCCCCAGCAAATGCCCTCCCCGCAAATGCAACAAGGCCCACGCATGCGATCCAACAGCAACGCTCCCCAGCAAGGACCTCCCCGCGGCCGCTCCAACAGCAACGCGCCCTACGCCGGCCCACCCCGCTCCATGTCCCCCGGTCCCTACGGCGGCGGACCCCAGATGGCACCCCCACCCCAAATGGGCGGGCGTCCACGATCCAACTCCGCCAGCCAGGCCGGCAACCCACGACGAGGTCCAGCACCCGGTCCCAGTCCCATGAACCCCAATGCCATTACTCCCAACGGACCTGTTCCTATCCCCGCCCGGAAGCCGGTCCCTGGTATGGCTATGTAAATCAATAAGTTTGATTCTAGACTGGTGCTTTTATGAGGAACGTTTGAGCGGTTTCTTGATCTTGATTTGAATTTTTTCGCTATTTCCTTTTGTGAAACCTTTCCAACTAGCGGTACGCGGTTCCTTGTGAATTCGTTGTTTACCCTGTTCCCTTCGCTTGGCTTCGATTCTTTGTAGCGGCCCCTTCTTCCACTGCAGATATGCAGTGGAAGGCCAGTCACTACTAGACCTCTTTGCTTTTCGATGCCTATACCCCCTGTAGCCTCGCATCAACCGTCCCCAATCTCACTTATCGAGGCTGGTCACCGGAGCAGGCGAGGCGAGATACTTTAGTCGATAATGTCTTGAGGATATTTTTTTATATATGGAAGTTGAATGTTACCTGTCCGCTGGGAAGGTTTCGGATGGGCTGGTTTGAGCCATGGCATGTACCTTCTTTCCATTTGCCTCTTGAGCGCCTGGTGCAATATGAGTTTACTCTACTGCTGCAAGTGCCGGGTCGCTGAGGGTAGGGAGGGGTATGGGATTCTTTGAGAATGAATATTTGGATAGGGAATGAAATGAGTATACAAAACTTCTTCCTTCCATAGGTTGCCATCCTGAACGGGGTAGTCTCCTGACTACCTACCGAAACCCAAACGATAGCCGTGTGTGAGTAAGTATCGTGCCGCTGTTTGGTACCGACGACATGAAAGTACTGAATCTTCTTAACGCTTGACACAACAGTAGATCGCAGTCGAGTTCACAAGTCTCTGTACATATGGAGCGTGGTTCGTTGTTGCATGTATTTGGCATGTAAAGACTAACAAAGCTGCGTCCCGACTGTACCATCATTTGGCTATTGTGGCGCGACCGAACACCCCGCAGTAGAATAGAAAGCAAAGCACCGACAAGCAAGTATTGTATGTACGAAGATTTCAAGTCTAATACGATGAAGGACCGATGTTTAATGAGCTGGTGGACTTGGTCACAGAGTCAAGTTGTGAATACAGTGAGGAAAGAGGAAGAAGATGTAATGGAGGATTCGGATACGATGAGCCTTGAATGGTCTGCGGATTCAGGTGTCAAGGTAACAGATGCTAGCCTATTCTGGGTTGGATCGTCATGGCTCGAGGGGCTGTGGTCATGGCTTGGCTAATAAGCTACAGGTCCAGCAGATCGGTATGAGCGACCTGGCACGGAGCTGCACGCCACACTGGCTTTTC